TCCTACCCCTAGACTTTAACTTTGAAAAGTTTAAAGTTAAAGTGTAAAGTGACACTTTAAACTTTAAAAGTTAAAGTTTAAAGTGCACTACTTTAACTTTAACTTTTAAAGTTTAAAGTAGTACTTTAAACTTTAACTTTAAAGAAAAGTTAAAGTGCCACCCCTATCCACACCCACACCCACACCCGCTATGGGCACTCTTGAAGTGTAGCCGTGGAGCTAACGGCAAGTTAGTCAAAAACAGATATCTATGCATCACACTTCATACACTTTTCTCTCGGTATACCCATGGAAATATAACGTAGCTCAGTTAACTACATCAGCTTTAGTTCTATTCAGTCAGAAAGAATTGTTTCACATGTAAAACACTCCGAAAAATATTACTTTACATCCATAAAATTGATTTTTTTTCGGCAATGAAACGCTAAAAAATCATATTGCTCTATGTAAGAATGAATTTATTTTTATTGACCGTATAAAAAAGTATTGAAAAACAATTTTATAAGATTACAATAATCGAAATGTTGCTGCAATCATTAGATGATCCGAAGGATGTGTTTCATCAGGATAAGATTCACTAGAAGGATTAACTGGTAATTCTAACACATTTTCTATCGTAAAATGACCGTTAAAGAAAATATAATCCAACGTATCACGATAGGCCGGTGACGATGAACTTTTAGAAAAAGTCGTGTAAACAGGTTCGACTCCATTTTTCTCCCAATAGGCGCTTCTCAATACTTGTTCGGCATTAGGTCGATAAGAGATTTCATAAAGATTGGATTCTGGCAAACGACAACCAACATAATTTTTATCGGTTAGAACTTTGTAACAATCATTCCATGGTTCAATATTGAAGTCACCAGTAAGAATAAAATTATCTCCAGCTGCTAATTGAAACATCAAATCTTTCACAACTAAAGAATGAATTGCCATAACATCGGGCTCCTTGTAATAACAAGGCATGTGGTATGTGCCTATGTAGATTGATTTATTATCGATAATGACTTGTATACAAATAAGAGTATTGGCTCTAGTCATAGCAGTTTCCCATGGATCCACTTCAGAATCTATAGATTCGTTCATACCAGTCTCGGACGAATTCCATTGACATATAAAAGGATCTGCCTTTTTTTCACGAGGTTTACACATTGAGCGAATATGGTCTCCTATTTTGACAATAGAAAGTGAATTGAGTTCCATGGAAGCTGGAATTGCAATGCCCACTCCCATATAATCATTATACTGTTGACCATAAAGATTATGAAAGAATGTGTAATTCAGTTGACGAAAAAATAATTCAAGTTTTGGTAACAAAGTAAGTGACAATTCTTGTAAACAGATAATCGTATTTTCATGATGATGAATTTCTTGTTCTAACTGAGATCGAATCAAATTCCATCGATAATCAGTTTTCAGAAATTCAGGTCGACAATTACAATAATTTTCTGGTTGATCCGCATAGATGGGTACTAAAATATTGTATGACGCGATGCGCACCGGCATAGTAACGTTATAAAAGCGTATTTTTTATGATATGACGGATAGAAAAAAGGAAAGTGGTGTAGAAGAGCACGTGTTACTTATGAATGGGAAGTATTGCAAATACATATGAAATTCGATAATAAGAACAAAAAGAAACACAGTAATATTGGGTGTGGGTGTGTGGTGCGGCTGTACTCTTTTTATACAGATAGAGCATGACTCACACCTCAGCTCGAAGTAAAATGCAAATCGTAGGCGAAACCGAATCAAAATCTTTCTAAACCAAATCCCAATATGCACGAATTGTTGTGGTCCTATACATATGAGACATTGATTTTCACTTCAACGAAAAGCAAGACAGCATTAGGTGAAGTAAGCAAGTGGTCTACGTCATTTGTCAAGCTTGGAAATTTCCAACAAGGCAATAGCGTGTATGAGTCATACCAAGAAATCGTTTGCGTACGCGACAGTGTCGAGCATATAAGAGGGGAATTTCCATTTTTAAATCCCCTTACACATTATTTCCCTTAGTAAGTTAATGTTTCGCTATCCTACTTCTCAACCAAACGATATCGAGCGTGGGTGTGGATGTTTGTTTTTAGGCAGCACTGTCATATAGGTTTGAATCTTACGTCCACGTTCACGTCCACGCCCACGCCCACACACCCACACCCGAGTTCAAGAAACAATGGTTGGTCACCAAGTGACCATGCTATAGCTTCAATAGAACGATTCCAACTATC